ATGGTGGAGTTCTGGTCACCGGGCACAATGTGTTCCTTCCACTGGGCATTGTTCTGGTAGATGTTGCGAGTCAGGTAGACCCGATAGGCAATCATTAGGCCATCTTCTGGCGGTGCAGCGGACCAGGTCACCAGAATGGCCGCGTCCACCACGTCGTGCCTGCCCGGGTCTCCACTCGGTGGATCATCCGGAAACCAGGGATTGGTCGTATGGGTGGGCAGCGAAGATAGCGTGTCCGTGAAGTCGTGCTCTGTGCTGACTTTGTTAATTTTGATGAGTCCAGGTGGATTGAGTGGACCTTAAAGCAACAGGATAATAACTTACATGTGTGGATTAAATTAATATGCAGAAATTCTGTTTTAGTCGTACTTCTGTCGCCTGAAGGCCAATTTATCCTCCCTCTCTGACACTGACCACTGGCAGGATATTCTTACCTCTCGTCCTCAAATGGGGCTTAATTTCCCTTTTCCACATTTACCTGGCGGACATTTATCCGTATCGACACCTATTCATATAATTCGATTTTGGGTATGTGCTTGCCCAACAAAAGGGACGGCTGCAGTAAACAAAATCTAGGTGTTTCATTATCTTCAATTGAACAATTTAGGAATTCTCCACGTCGAGCTCCTGTGAAATTCTGTCTGACCTACATGCTATTGTTCCCTTCCCGTTTTTTGTTACAAACACCGACTGACCTTGATAACGGCGTCGCGCTTGTATTGTTAAAGTGTTTGGGATGGACAGTCCGGCTCCCCTGTTAAATGCCCACTGCCTCAACGTCATGAGACTTCGCAGGGAGTGGTTTCCGACTTGATGACCTGAAAACTCTTTGCCGACTTCTCTGGGTGCGCACACACGCGTTCAACTATCCACGGTTGCCAAAGAGCAACTTGAGCACATCACGCTTCGGCCAACGCAGCAGGGGGCCCTATACACGACACCCCCTCGGGCAACGCAACACATCAGACGCACACCACTTGAACTTGCTCCACAATCACCTAAAATTAGCTGCCAGCTTTCTCACTCTCACAGGTTCTCTCAGTCGACAGTAGCCCTGGCTTCGTCTTGCACACATGTGACGTTATTGAATACGCGCTGTCTTTTTCTAGAGTCAGATGTTATAGTTGGCCAAGTCCCTCGCCATTGACTACGTTTATCCACTGGAGAAGACTGCTCGATTCAGTATCCTGTCGTACCACGTACTATACCAGTTGTTGTTATCATTAGGAATTGACGTACGCGCTAGGAAAAAGGGATACTGAATCAAGTGATCATCAACCAGTATGGGCCAATTGACACGATTCGTGCTGTCGAATCAAATGAGTGCATGGCTGAACATTGTCTCGTGTGCAAGCTAGTGCATAGCGAGCGTTACTGTTTAAGTTTTATCGTAATACCCAGCCGCTGCATCGGGGCTGCCAAGACGTGCTTCCACTTGCGGATGAATAAGGGTTCTGCTTAGATAGCTCATTTGCGAGGTTTGGGTGTTCCGAGGGTGGCCGACGTACAAAATGTCACTAGTCTCCAAATGCGTGCCTACCGCACGACTGTGTTGCTTTCGAGGTGGCAGCGCCTATTGTAGTAACCGATGCTGCCGG